AAGCCGTAACTTCCGCAACGACGCTTCAGGTCAGAAGTTACGACACTTACGGCGACGTAAGCCGTAACTTCCGCAACGACGCTTCAGGTCAGAAGTTACGACACTTACGGCGACGTAAGCCGTAACTTCCGCAACGACGCTTCAGGTCAGAAGTTACGACACTTACGATGACGTAAGCACTCATGACGTTTAAGTAAAGTGCCGATCAGCCAACCGTCTCTACTGCAAGTTATGTATTAGGTGTAGCGCTACCGGTGTAGCCCCTGCGCTCTCACTACAGGTACGTGTGTCCTGTAGGGAGAGATAAGGGGGGGGGGGCTCTTACATGGGCAGAGCTATATATTAGATTTAGACACTAGCAACCACTCGAGCAGCCGAAGCAAATATATGGTCTAGTTACAGAGCGGATACAGTAGTCATAAGCAGACACAGCAGCAGCTTGCACTACACTGCGCAACCGTTATAACATTAGCGAAGTACAAACTACGATATCAAGCAAACACTCCAGTAGCAAAACCAGTGCAAGAGAACTGCCGCATGGCGTAAGCAGCAGCAGCAGCAGCAGCAGCAGCAGCAGCAGCAGCAGCAGCAGCAGCAGCGAGAGCGAGTCGAACTCGAAAAACATTAATAAACTAGAAAGGGCAGTTGTCGCCAACTAAATGTATTCCCCGTGTTCGCCCCAAGATGTGTAAGTATACGAAGTTTGGTCGCGCTAGGTCAATTAGGGGCCGAGTTATAGAGCGGAAGGGAAATATGATGAAAGTCAAGGTCAAGGTCAATGTCAAACAAAGGTTGCAGAGACCTGGTTTCGGTACGCGACACCCATTTTCCCCAAGATGTGTAAGTATACCAAGTTTGGTCGCGTTAGGTCAATTAGGGGCCGAGTTATAGAGCGGAGGGGAAGTATAATCAATGTCAAATAAAAGCTGCAGTGACCTGGTTTTGGTACGCGACACACATTCTCCCCAAGATGAGTAAGTATAGCAAGTTTGGTAGCGCTAGGTGAATTAGGGGTCGAGTTATAGAGCGGAAGGAAAATTGTCTGCGGCGGCGGCAGCGGCGGCTTGGGAAAAATGAAACCATAGTATCCCCGCCGACTTTGTCGCGGGGGATACAAAGAGCAACCAAAAAAATGCACTCTGGAGTGAGAAATGAAGAAAGGCGAAAAGGAGGAAAGGAAGGAACACGGGAAGGAAGGCAAAGAGGAGGGAATAAAGAAAGGAAGAAAGCTTGGGAAGGAAGGAGGGAAGGAAGGTGGAAAGAAGGAAAGAAGGTAAAATGAAAAGGATGGCGGAAAGTAGGAAAGGCGGGAAGGAAGGAGGGAAGTAGGAAAGGAAGGAGGTAAAAGCAGGCTTCAGATGTTTGCACCGAGGCGCGGTGACGTCATCCACGCGGGGAACGACTGGAAGGAACGCAGCAGGCCGAAGCTAATCGTAATAACAATAGCTATTCATAATTCTCTTATTGCCTGTTATTAGCGCGTTGTCGGACACCAGGGGGGCGTACCTAGCGTGTTGCGGATGGCGCCTGCGATGCGCAGGCGGTGGATGCCATTGCCGATGCCGCAGTCGTCTCGTAGATGGTCGTCATTGAGGTAGGGCAGCATGTCCATGCAGACGCCCTGGTGGAGCATCGAGTAGGAGTACTGAGAGAGGTCCGTCTGCAGACGCAGCATCCACGAGTCGAGGCCGGACGGATCGACGCACGAGTAGTCTGCGTTGATCTTCAACGTCTTCAGCTCCCGCAGGAAGCTGTGTGTGAGAGAGAGAG